TATAATTATACATAATTATATATGAAATATGTTTATATATCCTTCTTTCTTTCGTGAAATTACTATTTAATTATAATAAAAATGATAATAGTAATGAAAAAACATAAAAAATAATCATAAGGATCATTTTTGCATTGTTTATCATAATAGGAATCGAATTACAGAATTGCAATAAACTATGATTTACTGATGAAAACTTGATTCAATTGTATTGATTCAATCAGATCCCGTACCACAGACAATTATTCAATCGTTTTTTGTTAAAAAAACGATAGATGATGAAAAGCATTCTTATTCATATCATTTCTTAAAATAATCTCTATTCTGTGATTAGGCTTTCAACATGATAAAATTAGAATCCCAGAATCGCGTAGAATCTGGAGATACTGGGAGTGTCTCGGCGCTAAGCTACGCGCAACGACACTGCCGTGGCTACTTTACATGAGCCGACGAGTTGGGCCAGATCGAGAGTATCGGATCTCAATAAGAGCTGAAGTGATCAAGTTCTAAGCGTGCTTAATTGATTGTAACCGCTCGGGATATATAATGAAAGTGTTTTTATTTTTGCTCTACGAACGAAGATATTGCGACGTAAAATACGAATCTGAAACTTTTATTAAGAAAAAATTAAGAAACGTCATCGTCGTCATCATCGTCGTCGTCGCCGCTACGAAGTGGGGATAATGTCTTTTTAGAATTTTTGGCGCAAGAGGCAAATGTGGTGCTAGCAATGCATGGTCACATCACACATGAGGTTTCTTTGTGTCGCATGTTTCAGCATGCTCTAATGTGCTCTTGCTATAGCTTCTATTCACTTCAACGAGCGCGTTAGAGTGAGTAAATGCTATGGTAGGAGAATTTTAGATCATGTTAGAGCATGCGACGCGAACAAATCTATAATCAACGAGCGTTGCAAGCGCTGCAACAGTTCTGCATATTTTACACTCTATACTCTGTAGAAATTAAAAGTTGAAGTTATTGTTTCTTACGATCATGCGATCGCGAAGGAATGGAATAAGTGCGATTGTGGCAAAAGATATATTATATACAGGGAGGAGCATTTAAAACAGGTTATCTGAATAACTCGCTTGTTTTTAACAATAGAAGAAAAAGTGTCAAACAAAAGTTGCTTGGTTTCGAGGAGCACATAATGTGATGTCAATAATTGTTTTGTAGATGGAGACGTAAAGAGGATAGGCAAAGGTCAAATCTGTTTTTTTAAATGGAATGATATGTTTTTTATTTACATTCTGATAAAGCATTTTAAGACGAATACAATGACCTATAATTAGAGGTCATTTAAGGTTACGCAAGGTCAATAATGGATAATAATTAAATGTAAAAATAAATTGTTTTAAGGCCCTCTTCGAATAATTTCTAATTGTCTTCTCTTCTTGTTGGTATATCGCTAATCGTTCAAGTCTATCACGGTAAATAAACATTGAAGGTTTATTTAAACATAACAAGATTAGCTGTAATTAAAAATAAATTGTTTGAAGGCATTTTTCGAATATTTCATTAATTTACTTATTTGCGTACTTACCGTTACAAGAAGTGTTCAAAATGATGACCCTGATCATCGATGCATTTTCTGAAACATGTTGACACAAATAACACTGTACGACGAATTTCATTTGGATCAATCGCAACGCAAACTCTTCTTATACTCTCCTTCATGTCTTCTCTTGTTATTGACATTTTGCTGTATACTTGCTGTTTTAACTTTTCTCACAAATAAAAATCCATAGATGTTAAATCTGGGAAACGTGTGGCCCATCTGTTATTTCCTGATCGATCAATCCAACGATCTCCAAATTTTCTGTTTACCAATTTAATAATAATCCATGCAGAATGAGCAGGACATTCATCTTGCTGTACCACATTGATTGTCGTATGTTCAATGGAAGATCTTCTAATAATAATGACAATATTTCTATTAAAATATTTCTATTAAAATCTGTGCACAAATACTTGCGATTTAATGTTCCAAAGTGAGGACTAATTATTTTATCATTAAGAATTCCAGCCCAAATATTTATAAAGGTCTCTGTCTGTTCATTTCTTTCATCCAATGTGGGTTTACTGACTAATAGTGCATATTGCGAAGATTTACTTGTCCCTTGTTTGTAAATGTAGCTTTGTCAATAAATAAGATTTTAATGATATCATCTTTTTGTAGTCTTTGTAGTGCCCATTCAGAATTGTACACGATTTTGAAAATCATTGCCATGTAACTTTTGATGAAGTGAGATATGAAAGGGATGAAATTTATTGGAATGGAGTATTGGCAGAACACTTCGTCGACTAATACCTTCATGTTCAAGCTGTCTTGTACTGATATGTGGATTTAGTGCTACAGCGAATAAAATGTTCGTCGAATTTCTGTTGCCAGTTGCTTTCTTGATTTGTTTGCGTATTTTATTATGTACACTTCCTTTCTTGAAAAGTTTGTGCTATGTTTGAAAAGAGAATGAGGGATGGACACGATCGGGAAATCTTCATCTACAAACGTACTGCTTCTCTCATAATTTGGCGACATTCACCATTGACGAAAATCATATCGACTTTTTCCACTTTTGTATAACGCATTTCGCAAGACACGCACTTTGATTGATAAATGAATTCAAACTGATTATTAAATATGGATAATGCTATGTGCAATGCACTTTATACGATATTAAATATTTATACAATATAGTATATACTTGAACAATTAACGGTATATTAACAAAAAGAGAAGACACGAAATTATTCGAAGAGTGCCTTGAAACAATTTATTTTTAATTACAGCTAACCTTATTATGTTTAAATAAACCTTCAATGTTTATTTACATATCGTGATACACTTGAACGATTGGCAGTATACTAACAAGAAGAGAATACATGTAATTATTCGAAGAGTACCTTGAAACAATTTATTTTCTATTACATTCAATTCTTTTCTATTATTGACCTTGCATGACTTTCAATTATAGGTCATTGCATTCGTTTTAAAATGCTCTATCTGTAAGTAAAAAAACATACCATTCCATTTAAAAAACAAATTTGACCTTTGCTTATCCTTTACGCCTCTATCTATATAGCAATTATTGACATCACATTATGTGCCCCTCGAAACCAAGCAACTTTTGCTTAACACTTTTTCTTATATTGTTAAAAACAAGCGAATTATTCAGGTGACTTATGTTTTAAATGTCCCTCCTTGTATATATGGTAGACAAATTAAAAATGATAAAGACTTTTTTATTTATTCGAACTGTGAGAATAGATCCATAGTTTTAAAAAGGAAAAGTTAACACATCGCCCGACGTTCGGCGTCGTTGTCGTCGTCGCTATCGTCGACGTCTAACGACAATGAGTTGTTGTATGGTCATCTTCGTTCATCGTTGTTTTATATTTTAATGCGCTTGGCGTCGCGACGCTACCGCATCGCTTGATTATATCATACTTACTCGCTTATAACTTTTAAGTATATAATGATAACACTTTTTTCTCTTTTTTTTTTAAATTTATTTCTAAGTATCGAAATGACATAATTTATGAATAACATAATGTTACGTCCGGATTCCACAGTTCTATTCTTCGACTCAAAACTTTCGTCATCACCATAAAAATTATTAATCAGTAATACCGATAGACCATCTGTTACAATAGCGACGAGCCAAATAACATTTCAAGCTAATAATCCATTCGGGACAGAACCGTTGGGTTAGATATTGGAACCAAGTGCCAAATAGGCGAACCTTATCTCGAGGAACGGGAAGAATAAATAGATTAGAATTATAAAATAAAACAGCAGTTGTGCGCAATAAATGACACATGTGGCTCGAACCTATTGGACAAATGGACAATCCGGCAAATAGTCGATAACGAAAGTTGTCTTAGACACATACTCTTGTATCCCATTTCACAACCGATATCCCTAATCCTAATCCTGGATTGGCCCAGCAGCACACGTGTACTCTGCACTCGACCCCACTAACTCGCCAATATAAAAAGAGAGGTCCTCCAGAGGAACGGCAGTCAGAACTCAGAAGTCAGCAGTCATCAGTGATCAGTCCCAGTTCTCAGTTATAAATTGTCAGTCAATTATTAAAACGAAACTCTGCCGGTTCGCGAGACTGTGCTCGTTTAAACTCCATCTCCTTTGGACTCTGAACAAGAGTGACAGGAGTCTCCACATCCGAGTGGCAACCTTCCGTGAAGTGCTGGGACCAACAATTTCGGCTGCTAGATCCACCCACATCCGCAGAACAATAGT